GGGGGGGGGGGAACAAGACACAAGAAAAACAATACCTTGGGCAATAAAAATTTATTTTAAACCAGCTTTGTGGAAGCCTCCCAATGGCACCTTTCATTTGTAGGAGGCAGTCTAAATAGATGATAGGTATGAAATAGCATAGGAACTACAACACATCAGATTTTAATACTCATATGTTGTAATGTCATCTTTTCTATGGTATAGATTCTTTATTTCTGATAAGGAACGTCTCAGGCATAGAAATACATGAAATTGCTTTGGGGATTTTTGTGTGTGTTTTTGGTATTTTTATGTTTATTAGCTGCATGTGAATTTTTCATGACTTTCTTTAAATTTAAAAAAAAAAAATTTTCCCCCTAAGAGGCTTTGGAATGAGGTCCAGTTTGTGGTATAAATACAGGCTTATTGTTTTAGGAAGCATCACATATACTCCGAAGCCTTTAAACTCTACAGAAAATTTTTTCCAGGTTATTCCAAGCACTCATGCAGCTTTGAAAAACAGAGTTGGTTTGTGGGAACATTTGACACAGTTCGGAAAAGATGCCATGTGTTTTTTTCTGATCTCTCCTTTTTTAATGTTTACTGTACAGTCTTCCCAAGGTGATTGCTGTGATTCTGCAGGCACTGGTCACTCTCTTCTAGGCGTCTTTTCAGATATATTAACCTCCTCACGTTCCAGAGCTCTCAGCAACTTCCTTCAATGACATACTTTCTGTGTGTGTTTGTTTCTAAAATGTGAAGCTTTAGGACCAAATTGTTAGAAAGCATCAGGATTACCAATTATTTCCAGTAGATCTATTGGGTTTCAGAACACACAGCATGACTCTGAAGGATACTATTCTATGTTTTATATATAAATAATTAGTTTATGATATAGACATTATTATCGAATATTTAGAGAATCATTGTTAATTTTAAAACTAGCAATTTACTCATTAAATAAAGTGCATCAGATTGACTTGAATAAAAACACTTTGACAACCAGGTTTGCCATTTCGCGGAAACTAACTCTTCTCTCTCACATCAGGTTGTTTTAAATTTATATGTTACAGTGGAAAATAACAGATTAATAAAAAATAATTTCTGACTTTTCTTTTCAAGAATACAGCTGGCTATCTTTAAGAAAAAGATATATGCAAACTAGTTTTCTGATTATTTTTACTTTTATTTTTCTTTCTAGCTGTGGATGCTAAATAATTTTGGACATCTTTTTATTATACCTTGTTTCTCTCTTAAATCTGGTGACACTTTGTCATCTGTAACCTGTTTATTTCATATTTAAACTTCTTTGGGAAGAACAAAAATCTGATCCCCTGATTCTGAAAAGCCTGAATAAAATTGGAAAGGCTGGTAAAGTTAAGAGAACTAAATAACTAAACTGCTATAATATACAATTTGTATTACAACTGGTATAATGGGAGGGAAAGGTAAAATTATTCTTAAAATAAGAGCAACTTTTTACAGGCAATACATTACCCTCTTTTGAAATTCAGTAACCTTTCGATCAGTAGTGTAATTGAACTTGGGTATATTTATATTTTTTTCAACATTGAAAATAAATTTAGTTCTGCCCTTTTTCTTAAAAATACCAGTGACATTTTGGACTGTTTATTACATGGTGACAGTAGACTTTCTCATAAGATAGAATCATGCAGTATTTATTGATAGCCCTAACACCTGGGACAAATGTTTATGCTTCTACCCAGATTTGTGTCGAACAGAAACAGATTATGTGATCGGAAAGAAGAATCCAGCAATTAACAGTTGACATTTTAAGAGTGATGTTTAAAAAGCTTTACACCTGTTTACAATTTGGAGATGAAAGGGCAGGCTTTGTTTTTCTGCTGTGTGATGAGAACTGGCTTGAAGTATTTATAGAGTCAAGAGTAAAACTGTACAAACTTGCACTCTGAAAAGTGTAACAAGTTACTTTGATTGCAGTACAAATATTTACTGTTCTAAAAAGTGAAAATTGAAGACTTAGCCAGGCAGATGAATCTTTAAGTGAACCAGTTGTTGAAATTATTGGAATTAACTGAGCCAAAGTGAATATGCGTTCTTCATCTATTTAGTTAGCACTTTGTATCATTATATACAGTTTACAATACATGTATAACTCGTAGCTATAATCATTTTGTGCCATTAAAGCTCTCACAAAACCCTTTCTGTTCGTATATCATGTTCTGTCATGCGTGTTGTCTGGGAGTTTAGAGGAGATGAGAACATTTTTATCTTGAGTTCCTCAAGTCTTCAAGTGCCTCACAGTGTGCCAAGCACTGTCGGGGTGAACGATACACCCGTCCTGAGTGTCCTGCTCTCAGGGAGGCAGTCACGGCAAGAGTGCGTGAAGTGACTGTGGCATTCAGAGCATTTATCCTGCCAGATAGTGTCAGGACACCATTCATAGAGGAGGTGACATATTGAAAGACAAGTAAGTGCCCAACACTTGCGAAAGGGAATAAAGGGCATAGCGTGCCCGTGAGGGGAATGGCAGGAACCGACGTGAAAATACATTCCAGAAATAGCATGAAGTTCAGTGCAGCCGGAAGACACTGTAGAGAGAAAACTGAGCGTAATTTAGTGTTGAACCAGATTGAAATGTGTGTGGCCTTCTGGGATTGAACCTAATTGGTTATCGGCAGTGGGTTACCTTTGGGGGGCTTACTTAAGCAGGGAGAGGGTTAAAGACTTAAATTTTAGGCAGTTACAAAAGAGTGAAGGAAAGTGCCAGAGGCAAGATCAGCCTGTTCTGTAGGTAACAGCTGTAGCCCTGGGGATGGGAAGGGTAGGCCGGGTGGGCATGTAGGCAGAGACAAAGCCGAAGTCAGTGTGGGAAGCTGACTTAGGAGGAAGGCATGTGTGTGCTCTGTTTTTTGGTGGTGGGGGTTGGGGGGAGCGTAAATGGGCGTGGATGCCATTAACAGAGAGAGAGGACAGGAGGAGGAATGGGGTGGTAAGGGGAGAAGGAAGGTTTCCCTTTTGAATCCATTGAACCTGGTTTGAACACAGCCACTTCTTGTATGGAACTAGAACTGGGGAGAAAGGTGAGGCGTGGAAATGAAACGCACGTGCCCATGTACCGCACAGTATTTAAAGATGTGAACACGGGGAAAGAGGAAAGGAGTTAAAGCAGCAGTGGAGTGTTTTAACATCTGAAGATTGAGCTGAGGAGAAGCTCAAAAAAGTGAGTATTGTAGGAGAACCTCCCAAAAGAGGAGGCAATCAATCCTGTCAGATTTAGTGGTTAAGGGAAGTTTTTGAGCTTGACAGTTGAATCACTGCTGGTCTTGGCAAGAGCATTTTCTATAGAAGCTAAAGAGAAGGGACCTGGATAAGATAGTAAGTAGGTTAATGAATGAGTAGCACGTGAGCAAGTGTTGGCTTTCCTTAGTAAGTTTGGAGACAAAATGAGGGAGAGGATTTTGAAGAGACAGGAGGGTAGGATCATTTGCTTAGGCTGGCATAAGAGGTAGGAGTAAGTCTGTAGGCAGGGAGAGAGTGCAAGGAGATGTTAAAGGTGTGCAGGAGCAGATAAGTAATGGGATAAGATTCTGGCGGCAGCAGGACATATTAAGGACTCAGAGGGAAAATTAACCTTGAAAGGGGAAGAGAGACTTTGGGAGCCATTACAAGGTCACAGAACCCAAACATTTATGGTAGGAAATGAAGCATCTAGCTAGAGTTTCTTAGTTTTTCTGAAATAATTCTGAAGTGTCAGTTTGTGTCCTGAAAAGCACAGCTTCTAACTAAAACACACTTCTGCAATAATTAATATTTTTGAAAACACTTGTCAACCGTTCTGGTGGGAAGTAACGGTCCGGGAGTAAGGAATCGGGTCAGAGACCAGGCAGTGTTGACAGCGCGCGAATTTTATTACGGGCATCACTGATAACCTTGTGTAAAGATAGATTTTTAAGCTTCAAGCTACCCGTTTGGGCATCACTAAAGCATGAATAACTTTGAAAAAGAAAATCCATACACAGTTCAGCCATTTCTCCATGTTAAGTTTCACGTCATCTTTGCTTTTATAAATGCTATGATGTTCCTGCCAAAGAATCCATGTTTTGGGGGGTGTAATTTAGGGTGAGAAGAGCATGAGAGAACTCAGCATCACTGGTTTCCTAATCACTGCTGCGTTAGCCGTGTAGTTTAATAAGTCACTGTTTTGGGTGAGGGGCAAGGGGGGAAAAATGGAAACGTTGAGGGAGCGCTTAGCATGGGCCAGACATTGGCTTTTGAGTTCTCACATTCTTGAGTCCTCGCAACAATCCATTCGAGGTAGTTGCTTTTTTGGTGTTACTGAAGAGAAGATCCAAGTTGAGTAAATGAACCAGGTAGGTCTCTGCCACGCATTCTTCCTCCTAGAACAGCTTCTGAGTACTTAGGGTTTTAGTCGAACCATGCTTCCCAGAATTCACACTCCCTGGTGGCTGGGTCAACTTTTTATTCTTTGGTGGATGTGACTTTTTTTCCTAGTAAGAAAAGAAATCGTGTATTAATGCAGTGAACACAATCTTAAAAAGAGTTCCCAGTGTCGACTAATGCATTGTTTTCCAAACTTTGGTTTAACATTTGTAATTCTGGCTAATTAAGTGTCAGGTGGATGTGAGTTTTAAACATTATTCTGTGTAAGAATAAGGGATCTTGCCCTAGCTGGTTTGGCTCAGTGGTTAGAGCGTCAGCCTGCGGACTGAAGGGTCCCGGGTTGGATTCCTTCCAAGGGCACGTTGTACCTCAGTTGCAGGCTCGATCCCCAGCCTAGTCGGGGCGCTCGTGGAGGCACCCAGTTGACGTCTCTCTCTCACATTGATGTTTCTCTTTCTCTCTCCTTCCACTCTCTCTGAAAAAGCAGTGGAAAAAATATCCTCGGGTGAGGATTACAA